GCCACGTGCCCATATCCAGAGAGAAAAATGGAGGAGGAAAGATTGTGGCCGGGAACCAGCAGTACGCATAATGGCTATGTCGCTGGACTCCCATGTAGTCGACCGCGGTTCGTGTCCCGGACCCGGTGGCTTAAAACTCAAACGCCAGGCACGTGTGTGTGCGTGCCCAAGATCCCGAGAGGAGAACGGAGGAGAAGGGATTGCGGCGTGACCATTCCCCCTGGGGGGTGATTTCTCGCTCTCTGGCTCTCTGTCTCTCTCTGTCTGTCTGGCGAGCAGCACGTGCTCTATAGCAAAAAAATTTTTAAAAACGCTCCAAAAAAAAAAAAAAAGATTGTGGCATGGCCATTTCCGCTGGGAAGAGGGTGATTTCTCACTTTCTCTTTGTCTCTCTGGAGAGTGTGGCCCATGGCAAAAGTATAACTCCAAAAAAAATGATGAAAGAAAGAAAGAAAAGGGAACTAGGCCAGTAGGTGGCATAGTAGTTAAGGCACTGAACTCCTACATGGCTAACTGTAGTTCAAGTCCCAGACCCAGCTTCCTGAAAATCACGCCAGGTACGTGTGTGTGCGTGCCCAAAATCCCAGAAGGAGAATGGAGGAGAGGGGATTGCGGTGTGGCCGTCCCACCAGGGGTGGTGGTTTCTCACTTTACCTCTCAGCGTCTCTGTCTCTCTGGCAAGCACATATGCCCTAAGGCAAAAAACCTCTTAAATGGGGGGGGGTGCGGCAGGTGGCATGGTTGGTTAAGGGCACTGGATTCCCACATGGCCAACCGTGGTTCAAGTCCTAGACCTGGTGGCTCGCTTTTTCGTTTTCCCTCTCTCTCTCTCTCTTACTGTATTCCTTTCTGGTTAAATTGTAAAAAATTAAAAAATGAATAAATGAATAAAGTTAAATAGTAATTCTTTTTTTAAAGCTTTTTTAAATAATTATTTATCTTATTTTATTTATTCATTCATTTATTTTTTAATTTGACCAGAGAGAGACGGAGGGTGAGAGTGAGAGAGAGGTGAGAACGGAGGACAAAGAATGGGGTGTGGCCATCCCTCCGGGGGCGATTTCTCACTTTCTGTCTGTCTCTCTCCAGCAAGTGCCCACATCCTATAGCAAAAATCTCTCAAAAAATCTAAATAAATAAATAAAAAGGCTGGGACCAGCAGGTGGCATAATGGCTACGTTGCTGGACTCCCGCGTAGTCAGCTGCGGTCTGAGCACCGGACCCAACTGGACCCGGTGACTTGGAGCTTGGAGGTCACGCCGGGCGCGTGTGCGTGCGTGCCCAAGATCCCGAGAGGAGAATGGAGGAGAAGGGATTGCGGTGTGGCCATCCCCCCTGGGGGGTGATTTCTCGCTTTCTGTCTCTCTGTCTCTCTCTGTCTTTCTGGCGAGTGCGTGTGCCCTCTAGCAAAAAGCTCTCCAAAAAAAAAAGAATAGAAAGAAAAGCTAGTTTAGTGTTTTCCAGGGGCCCCACAGGGTACCTGTGCCCCCCATCATTGCAGATCTTGAGGTGCTTGTGGTGGGGCATGGTGGGGGAGAGACCCCTAGATAGCCAGTTAAAACCTGCAGGGGGGAACCAGCAGGTGGTGTGGTGGTTAGGGCACTGGACACTCCCACATGGCCAGCCACAGTTCGAGTCCTGGACCTGGTGGCTGGCTTTCTCACTTTCCCTCTCTCTCTCTGTGTCTCTCTCTGGTCAAATTTTAAAAATAAATGGATAAATTAAATAATTCTTTAAAAATAAATAATTAATAATAATAAAAAAGAAAACGTGTGGGGATTTGACCACATTTTTATAAGCTGGGATTTGGCACACACAAGTCAGAATGACGCCTTTATTTCCTGAGAAGCTAATAACCCCTGGAAACAAGGGTGACACTGGGAAAGGGAACTCTAAGCGCACTCTCTGCAGGGTGATGCACACCTGGCCTGGGGACCCGCAAAGTGACCCCCGAGGCACCCACACACACACACCTTATGTAGGCTGGTCACGTGGCCGCCCATCCTTGATGGTCCCCACCTGGTGGCTCAGGGCACCGCTCCAGGCAGGCACCCAGGTGGGCTCCAGGGGGCGCTGGCTGAGGGTCTTGGGCAGGTGGAAGGCGCCGTCCATGGCCGGGAGTCCGCCTCCCCCAGTCCGGGAGTTCGGGCTCGGCAATGGTGCGCAGGGGGAGGCCGCCACGCTGGGCCTGCTCCTCCTCGTCCTTGCGCTTCCTTCAGGGCTGGGAGGGCACGCACAGGTGCGCGCAGGTCCGTGCAGGTGCACGCATGCGGCTTGCAGCTCCGGGTTGGGAGTTCTGGCAGGGCGCAGACAGGCTGGGGGCCTCCGTGACCGTCTTTGGGGGCGCTGTGACCATCAGGAGGGCCAAGGCCGAGCAGGTGCTGTTGGCGCGCAGCGGGCGGCAGCGAGGGCAGCTGCGGGGGCCTGGAGGCACAGCCGGGGTGGGCAGTGGGGCCTGCAGGGCGCAAGCTCCCGGCTCTGCCGTGGTACAGGTGTATGGTGGGTTGGTGAGGGCTATTTTTTTTTTCTTTTTTTTCTTTTTTGAGAGATTTTCACTGTAGGGCGCGTGCGCTCGCCAGAGAGAGACATAGAGACAGAAAGCGAGAAATCACCCCCCAGGGGGGATGGTCACGCCGCAATCCCTTCTACTCCATTCTCCTCTCGGGATCTTGGGCACGCACGCACACGCGCCCGGCGTGAGTTTTAAGCCACCGGGTCCGGGACACGAACCGCAGTCGACTACGTGGGAGTTCAGCAACATAGCCATTACGCTAACTGCTGGTTCCCAGGGCTATTTATTTTAATTCGACCAGAGAGGGAAAGTGAGAAAGCAAGCTGCCAGGTCTGGGACCCAAGGAACTGTCCGCCATGTGGGAGTCCAGCCGGCCCCCAGGAAAGATGTTTTAAAATAAAAAAATAAATTCTACCTTTAGAAACTTTGCAGCAGGCCCATGGTGGCCTAATGGTTAAGGGAGCCGGATCCTACATGGCCAATGACTGGTTTAAAATTCTGGCTCCAGAATTAAAGAACATGCTGGTGGTGGGGGGAGGACCAGCAGATGGCGTAATGGCTATGTCGCTGGACTCCCATGTAGTCAACCATGGTTCGAGTCCCGGACCCAG